GATCCAGGTACCTCAAGGCGGGATCCTCCCTCCATGGATCCGAACTCGGAAGTATGGGATCCGGGGTACCTCGCGGTGGATCCTGACTTCTCGTTAGCCGTGGCTACTAGATCCACCTTCGGATGGCACCTACCACCATTCCTTCATAGGATCCACACTCGATCCACTGGTACATAGTATATCCCATATCCACCTAAGTGAATCCAGGTAAGGGTGGATCCGAGATAAGTCTTGGTGGATCTTGTCTTCCCGTACATCGCTCATACCAGATCCATCGTCATTCCATACGGGGTGCCGCTCGTCATGGCTAATCCACCACCGGCAACTTGCATCCGTCCCACCAACCCAAATCCTCTCTAATCACTTGAAATTGTCACTGATTCGGGATAGTGACCCCGCGTCAGGCCCATTCTCTTATTTCTGAGAAAGCACTTCACCACACAAGCAACCCTTGTTGCCGGTCGAGTGGGAAAACTACGGCAAAACGTTTATCTGCACGCATTCGGGGGTATACAAGCTGCGAGGGAAAGGGAAAAGGAAGAGGCTGCAATCCAGAGCAATGGAGTGTGGTGCTCAGGTACGATATCTGGGCCGAGTTGGGCGTTATGGATTTGAGTTGGGCACGCATCTCGCCAGTTGGGTATCATATGTGCCAGTATGTTCAGTTTTGACTTACAAGATATTTAATTGTATTCATTTCTATTACAGATCAACGCGTGCGTCCAAGTAAAGGATGAATCCGTTCCTACCTTTGTTTTGAGAGTTACTACTGCTCGCTTGATCCACAACCATCACATCAGCAAGCACACGTTCAACCAGTATCCACACAATAGAACTGCGCTGGAACCGGAAGTTATCAGCACCGTGAATGAGCTACGAAAAGCTGGTGCCAAAAAGAAGCGAATACTCAAGTATATTCATGATAACTCCGCATGTAACCCCTCCAATCAAGATGTGCACAATCTAGTGCGAAGGTTAAAGAAGCAAGAGAGCACTGCCACCACCAGCACGAAACGGCTGAAGAAGTGGATGATGGAATTCTCGGAGGAGCCTGGAAACGTTGGTCGCATATTTGTGGACTCAGTGAATGATAAGGTATGAAAAGGTGTTGCTGTTTATACATCTGATTACTTTAACTGTGTTTCATATTTTAGAGGATCGCCACGTGTATCACATTGCAGACCAAACATATGCGTGAGTTGTTTGACCGGTTTCCTGAGGTGCTAATGATTGATGCAACGCATGGCACGAATGTCTCCAAATACAAGGTGTTTTCGATTATGGCCCATGATGTTTTCGGAAAGGGGCAGTTTGTACAGCATGCAGTCGTCCAGAATGAGCGTCGTCCTACACTCTTGACTGCGTTGGATGAGTTCAAGAAGAACAACCCAGCCTGGTCACGGACTAAGTGCATTTTGATTGACAAAGATTTTACTGAGATATCCGTCCTCAACGTCGCGTTTCCGGATGTCGTGGTGCTTCTGTGCCAGTTTCATGTACTCAAATATTTGCGTGAGGAGATATCGAGCTCAGAGTATGGTTTTACTTCGTGGCAAAAACAACAGTTGCTTGGAATCATGAACTTGTTGGTGTACGCGAGGACAGAGCACGAGTTCACGAAGTATCGAAACTATATGCGGCACGTTATGAGCATTGAACGTGGTGGTGTGTCTCGTTCTTCTGGAGCTGGCCCCAATTGGGGTCATTTGGTCACTGAGAGCAGCGAGTTGGTTACTGAGAGCAGCGAGTTGGTTACTGAGAGCAGCGAGTTGGGCACTGAGATTAGCGAGTTGGGCACAGTTGGGAACAGTTTGGGTGTTCGTACTGGGTTGGGCATGGATAGTGAATTGCGCGGAGCGGAATGTGGAGACAGAGATGACGACTTGTCCAAACACCCATTCGAAATTTACTTCACCAAGAATTGGGACACTTGCAGGTCAATGTGGTGTTCTTTTGAACGCCAAAATGCTGTCACAATGGGGAACAACACGAACAATAGACTAGAGGCTTCGTGGAAGCAATTAAAAGGCCTCGTGGACTCGTTTATGGGTGTAGATGAGTGCATCGCTTCCATTATGTGCTACCAGTCTCAACAGGAAAAGAAATTCGTTGACGACGTGTACAAGTTGAGTTTGGTGCATAACATCAAGTATGACGCTGAAATGCAGTTCGTTTCGAATTTAGTGAGCGAGCATGCGTGCGAGCTTATCTATGAGCAGTACATATATGCAACTAGGAAGGGCAAGTACAAGTACTATGAGCCAGCCCCCGACGTGTACTTGCTGCAGCATGACTGTGACGACGAAGACGCTCTGGATGAACCCAACAGTGAATACTCCATCACGAAGCGCGACTGGTCATGTTCGTGCCTTTTCATGTGCTCTCGGCTCTTGCCGTGCCGGCATATATTTTTTCTTCGCAAAGTACCCGGGTGCGAAAATATTATTCCCACTCAACTGCTGAACCCTAGATGGCTGCTGGCATCGCTACGGATGACCACCGATTTTCCCGAGTTTTGTGGCGCATCTTTTGCCGTGTCTCGGGTCATGCAAGAGCCCAATACTGTCTGGGATTCAAATCGCAAGTTTCGTGAAGCAAACTCTGTTGCATCGACATTCACTGAGCATCTGAGTGGTCTGGGGATGAGAGAGTACCAGACAGCAATGAAAGTTCTTCGCGAGATCGCGACCCTTTTCAAACATGGTGAGTACAATGCAATTGCTTCGCACCAGCCAGTTCCTAGTGGTACGGCCTGTACAGACAGCGAAGCTATTCACGAATCTCCAGACGGTGGCTTAATAACGAGTCTAACGGCAGACGATTCTCGATCGAATTCGTGTATTGATGCTGGTCCTTTGAGATTTCTCCGGCAAATGCTACTGTTGATTCAACTGGTGACGAAGTGGACACGACACAGGTTGGTATCCAATTGGCAACAAATTTGGGCTCTGGAACGCCCCAGTTGGGCTCTGGAACGCCCCAGTTGGGCTCTGGAACGGATCAGTTGGGTGCTGGAACGGATCAGTTGGGCTCTGGAACGGATCAGTTGGGTGCTGGAACGGATCAGTTGGGTGCTGGAACAGACCGGATCGGAATGAGTTGCGATCGGTTGACAACTCAAACCGACCAGGTTCAAAAGTCCACCCAGGTTGGTACGCCTCTTGAGGCCAGCACAGCTCAAGGACGATCTGTCAATCTAGAAGATTCTAACGATTCCTTTGAGATCCAAAGTCCACCTCAACCAAGAGGGCGGCCGAAACAAAAGCCCAAAGCTGTCAAGGCTAAACGAAACCTGGCAATCACGATGGTCCAAGAAGATTTGGATATGCACGAGAACAAATTCCATCTCCTAGCGCTGTATAAAATTCTCGATGAAGCTCCAGCCTACAATTCTTCGCATAAAAGTTGACCCACTTCAGCCTCTTCAAATTCCTAACAAAGCCCAAACCACCCATCGCTTACGAAATTGCAAAGTTGCCTGCAAGCAAACCGCTGATGAGACCTGAGAACATAAGCAGAGTGTTCTCAATAGATTTGATTAAGAAGTGTATGGCCACGATGAGTGCCTACCAGAAGAAACACGCTGGAGTACGAGAACTCGATATTGCGCTTGAGATTGTTGGGCTAGGTGTCTTTGCAAACTCGACAATCGCCCTCATGAAAAAATGGCACCGTGCCCACGAAACGTTGAAGAAGATAGACAGCACGTTGAATTGGTTGAAGCAGCTAGACTTCTCGCGTTTAAACGCTTCAACATATTCGATAGAAGATGATCCTGAACTACCGGAAAAACTCAAGGCTATTCCTCTCTTTTCAGCGCAGGTACGTATCAATCATCTTACTATATTTTTGAAAATGAATAATACTAATGCATTGTAATTTTGGCTTAATAGGCACAAGTGCTGGACCTTACTGCAAAAGAGTGTTTATCCTACGAAATAATGCACTTGGTGTTTTCCAAGAGGTTCGGCCTCAATCCCAACGTGACTATATTCGACTCGGAAACCCTGGGGGTCGTAGTGGATGGAAAAATCTTGGCGGACCACGAAACTATACGCAGAAATCTGGCAGGCTTTTCGAAGGAAATTATTTTGTTCCCTGTGAATTGCAACGGGAACCATTGGTGCTCTGTGATGATGAACCTCGAGAAAGGGAGTGTAGCTATCTACGACTCTAGTTCATCTTCCTATTTGATTAGTGTTCGTGCCGTGGCCCAGACACTGATCATGCTATTACCACAGTTAGCAAGACCGCGGCCACGAGTACACACGTACGAGTCCGGACTTGGCGTTCAAGTGGACAGCTACAACTGCGGTGTTTACGTCCTACTGGCGTTTGAAGTGTTCTGTGGAGGTGAGCCACTTGGTCACCTAGACAAAAAAACCTTACAGTGTTTGAGATACAGATACTTGCACATGTGCATGCAAGCTTGAGCAAGGAAAATAGACTTAGTTTAAGCGTAATACATTTTGTTCTGGTCGTTATGATAATTGTGGTGTTATATTAAGAAAACAGTGAAGGACACATCCGGCGACAATTAAATCTCGACAAGTGATCCTTGCGACTCTACACTGTAGTACATGTATGGACGAGCTATGTGTCTCCCAACGCTAAGTCTCACCACAGACCCGTCTAAGTACGGCACCGCTCTATCCGGGTATACGATGAGGGTGTATAGCGTCCTAACTGGCTTTAATGATCTGGGCTACGTTTGGGAGCTGTTTGTGTTCCTGATGGGCACGCTTGGGCTTCTGGTGGGCGTGATTGGCGCAGGAGTCTCAGGATTCGTGCCTTTATAAAAAAACACACAGTGTAGACTACTACGCTGGGTAGTTAATACTACTACTGTAGTAGTGTTCATCCAGTTATGCCCTTAACGAGAGAGATGCATCAGGATAATATTCATAATTTAATTCTGCCTTGAGTTCTCAAACAGGTTTTAGTTGCAGTTGAGCGACAGTGTTTTGCAGCTGACGCAACTGACACTGACGAACAGAACACTAACTCAATGAACGTTGGTCTTTGTCGCATGGTCGTTTTACACGCGGTTGGTACTGCTTCTCCACTTTCAATGTCTGCGTTGGAAATCGTTTCAACGTTGGGGCAGCAGACGTAACGCGGGGGATATGAAAGCGCCATTTCATCGGACTCCAACTTCCTGTTTGTAGTAGCTCCACGATAGGTGCATCTTCATCCACACTCTCAGTTGAATCGCTGCTGTCATAATTGAACGTTAGCTGCTCGAGAGCTTGAGTTGCTTGAAGTCTCTGCTTGTCCGTCCCCTGTCGTATGAGCGCTTCAAGAGCTGGAATGGCTCCGTGTTGGGCGATAATCACCACAGTGCGCACATCTACCGCCAGATTCGTCAAAGCTCGTACAGCATCCGTCTTCTGGTTATCCGATCCATCTTTCAGTCGCAACACAAGAATCGGGATCGCTTCTGCAGCAACAATCACGCGGCGACTTTCAGCGTAAACGGCCAAATTGGCCAATGCCCGAGCGCTTTTCGCCTTCTGATTGTTCGTTCCATTTCACAAGAGTTCCATTAAAAATATGATCGCTCCTGAAGACGCAATTCTACTGCAATTATCCTGAAACGCAGCCAAGCTCCCCAGCAATCGAGCGAGCTGGTACTTCTGTTTGTCATTCCCACTTCGCAACAGATCGACAACTCGAGGAATACCCACGATGGTCTTGATGGCGTCAAGATTGCCACCATCGATTGCCAAATTGGCCAGAGCTCGCAGTGCACAACCAGTCTCTTTGGTGGTCCCACACTTCACTAGACCAATCAACGGCTCAACCGCAACGGAGATGGAAATCTGGCTTCGACTCGTGGCGTTCACAGAAAAGTTAGCTAACGCCAACGTTGCTTGTTCCTTTAATTTGTCTCCCCCCCGCTAATCACACGAGAGTCCACCAGCACCGGAATGGCTCCATCGCGTACTATTTCACTGTGGTATTCCTCGTCGATCGCCAGGTTGGCCAGTGCTCGTGCTGCGTGGCTTCTCTGGCAATGAGTCATCGCGAAGTCGCTCCACAAAGAAGCGGACGGCTCCTGCATCAACGATAAGACGACGGCTTTCTACGTTAAGAGCCAGGTTGGCTAGTGCGCGTACTGCTAGCACCTTGAGACTACACTCCATTGTCCTTAAGAGACCCACAAGTGGCTCAATGGCCCCTGCTTTGACGATGGCACTTCGACTATCCCCTTTGAAAGCCAAGTTAGCCAAAGCACGCGTAGCTTCGTCTCTCTTACCGAATGTCTCTTCGAGAAGACCCACAAGCGACGGGATGGCTCCAGCCTGTACAATGACATCAATATTGCTCTCGTCGATCGCCAAGTTGGCCAAAGCTCGAGCTGCTTGGCCCTTCTGGCTGGTCGTTCCGACTCGGAGAATCTTTACAAGAGGCTGAATGCCTCCTTCTCGCGTGATTTGAGCGCAATTAGCCTTGTCCACTGTCAGGTTTGCCAACGTCCGTGCAGCTTGGTCTTGCTGTTGGGTTGTTCCCTTTTCCAGAAGCATAACAAAAGGACTGATAGCTCCACTACTGACGATCGAAGTCCTGACGTCTTGTCCAATCACAGTGGCGTTTCCAAGCGCACAGGCTGCGTGTAGCTGTCCACGAGTGCTGCCGTTGCGAAGTAACTCGACGAAGAGGGAAATGGCTTCATCATCGATGATCGAGTCACAGCAAACACTACTACTCGAAAGGCGACTCAATGCAAACGCAGACTGAGGCTTCTGCGCGCTGTTTCCTCCTTGCAGCAGAGCTACCAGAGGCTCGATAGCGCCGGCTCGCGCAAGAACTTCGCAAGTTTCAATGTCATGTGCGCAGCGTCCTAAAGCGCTGGCTGCACATAGTTTCTGACATTCATCGCCGCTTGACAGCAACGTCACCAGCGGGATCGCAACGCCAGCTTCTCGTAAGTCGCTGATGTTTCTCTCGTCAGTCAAACACGCACAGTGGAGTGCGGCCTTCGCTTTGTCTCGGCTGCTGCCTTGCGATAAATCCGCTACAATAGCGACACACTCTTGAGCAGTGGCTGGACAGCTGAACTCGCCAAGACGTGCCAGCTCATTGGACGGCAGCACAGAGTCGAACTCTATTAATCTGAGAGAGGCCATCGCGCTAACCTTAATAAAGTGCGTCCACCCATTTCTCACCAGATTCGTCAATTCGAGAACCCCATTCGCATCGTAAAACTGTTTGCGTTGTCCTTCATCAAAAATCAAGGGGTAGAGAGTCAATAATGCCTGTTCCTGGTCACCGACACTACCCATGCGAACTGCATTCAATACGTCAGAGACGCAGGTGCCAATTACCAGCTCTGAGCTAGTGTTCCCCTCGAAAACACGTTCGTGTTGTACGCAGTTGTTCGTGGGCTTCCCGCACTCGGAACAAAAGCGAGCGTCACCCCTAGGCAGAGTGTTACATGCCCCACACGTGACAGCTCGTTCGTCTCTACTTCGGTCCGCAAACGCTTTCAACTGCTCCACTACGTACTGTAGTTTGCAGCGCTTGTTTGGGTCTGGGTTCGTCATTCGTAGCACGAGCTCCCACGCATCGTCCAATATCCCGTCGGGCTTAGGAAAGGTACCACCGTTTCTCACGATATAATGGTACTCGTCATCGGATAAGAGTGCAAGCGGAGGGACTCCAGTCACAGCCTCAACGACGCACATCCCGAAAGAGAAGACGTCCGAAGCAGACGTCGGGAGCTGTCTACAGCACTCAGGAGCTCGCCAGCGGCAACTGTGTGAGGCAGATTCCCGTTCGTACACCTTGGACAGCTTACAGTACGACCCCCTCCTTGTGGATAAACTCCAGTCCCTGTGCCGCTTCATAAAGCAATCGCCACATCTCCAACTTGTTGTCGCCACTGCGAGCCAGGAACGAGCGGAGATCGCCATTCTCGGCGTGTGCGGACACAAGAAACGGCGGTGAATTGACGTGTGAAGCACCAAACAGAGGCAGTAGATGAGGGTGACGCAGTGCGAACAGGATGTCCATCTCCTTTCTAATTTCTATCCACATCCCTTCATCAGCCACCGAGTCATCAATATAGAAACGTTTCAACACGAGCTTCTGCACTGCATTGTACTTGAAGCCAAAGTCGCCCCTGGCGAATGGCTTGGAAGGCACTTTGAAACAGTCTTCCGGAGCAAACCACGACGGCAACGCAGTGTCAGATACTCGCAGTGCGGCGCTTATAGTTTCAATCAAAGATTTCATTCGGCTTATGTCTTCTTTCTCGTGTAGACTGATTAGCTTTCCCACCTCAAATTTAAACGTCAATAAAGCTTCCAGTTGCGATCGAGGGCTCTGAAGACCATGAAATATCACGTTTTTATCGCTTAACGACACATCCAGCACCGATTTATGCGTGAAATAGTCTTCCTTCCACTGTTCGCGCCAAGTTGAGGCATCCACGTCAAGCAACTCAACGAACAGATCAGTGACGCACTTGTTGAGTTCCTCCAGCTCGTACGCCATGACTCGGTGTCGCACAACGCGAATCGTCAGCTGCTTACTATGGTGAAGTTGCAGGAAGCGAAGGTAGCGTTTTAATACATCCACGAATTGATCCAGTAAGTTGCTGGAAGGGAGTTGGTTGTCGCGATCCATCTCAAAGAGCTCAGAGAAGAGATTATTCAGGCGAGAATGGATGCGCTCACACGCTGGTTGACACTCATCCATCTGTAGACAGAGTTGCTGCGCTGTGGATAGCGCTTGGGCCACACATCCCTCTCCAGGGACCGCCAGGCCGAGCAGCGCACTCACTTGGAACTTTTTTTCGAAATTTCGTTTGGGTCTTAACCCTATCGTTACCAGAAAGATACATTACTGAAATCAAGACACCTTATTGTCATATTTCTTTCCTCCGCGCTAATCGTCGCCCATGTTTCGCCCAATCGCAGCTTAGGAAGCGATGTTTTAGAAACCACGCAGTTGTGCCGATACCTTGTCCTATTGTGTCTCGTGGGGTATTGCAGAGAAACTGGCAACCAACGCCACTATCAAACCCGCGGCACATTCACAACACATTCTGTAGCACAATTATACTCGAAGAAAGATCTGATGTAAGCACTACAGCCGCTTTCTCAAGGCGCCCATCGTGTCACCATGATCGCTTTCACCACGCATCCCCACCAGCAACAAGATAAGGAAAGCTGTCATCGCTGCGGTATCTTAGGAACATGGGAGTTCGTCGCTGTGGTAGTGGGTACTTAGCAATGACGCAGAAATGCCGCCAGCATGTATAACTCTCGCTCCTCTCTCTTCACGCTGCAGGCGGCTATCGGCACGCCTACGACCACGAGTAGCACGGAGAGGTCCGCGATTTGGTTACTGCTGTTTGCCAAACTGCATTTGGTGTGCGACTACAGGCTGCTGAGGGCCAGCTTATTCTTCATGCCGTGCGTGTGTCGATAATTGCTGAGTTTGCTGAAGAAGAAAGTCCCGCCAAGATGGAGAGCTCAGGTTTTTCGCAGAAGCCGCGACGAGAGTGCCGCATGGAGAAAGAAGAACAGCGCTACATAAGAAGAGATGCCAGTCGCCCGTATAGAAAGAGAAGCTCAGAGCCTAAGGACTCGTTGTGCTGGGGAGTTCTCGCCCTTGGCGATCCAGAAATGAACTGTACTGACTACTGATGCGTTGATGGCGCTACCCATAACCGGATAATGAAGTTCATGGACCGTAAAACACAACCGAATCTTGAGGTGTGGATCCCTGGTTTTAGAAACCGGTTCTATGTAGAATCGCATGACGACAGATGAAAAAAATATATGCATTATCCGTCACAGCTACTATTGATAGGTATCTTCGCTCGACGAAGCTCTTTCAAGAACGGGGCCTGTGCTTTATAGATCGATGAAGACCTTTTCAGGTTTCCGTCGACTGTGTAGACTTGCTTTGGTAAGTAAAAGAAGTGATACTTCTGCCAGCATGTCCACGCTTTCTGTTGGCACAGGTGAGGCTTAGCAGTGTCAACCGGATATGTACGCTTACAGAGTGCCACTCGGTGTGTCTCGCAGTAATCCGTGTTTTGGGTGGGATATCTACCCTCGAACTTGCAAATGGTGCACTTGCGCTTCGCTCTGCTTCTGTCATTCAAGGCGAGCGATGCCTCTTTTGCAACGCAAATCAGTGGCATAGCTATAGAGCTCTCGTTTTCCCTTTCAAACGGGGAGGAAGTGTCATCCGTCGTAGTGTTTGCAGGGGTTATGGCGTACACCATGCCATCGGTACTATCAATGGACTTTTTCCAATCTCCATTGAACAGCTCTCGAACAAGCGAAGCTACAAATGCGCGGTGTTTATCTCGCGCACCCGAACTTGAAGTATCATCATAATTTGGAGTGGAGCCGCTCCTGCCGCAGGCCAGGTTATGACATACGTATGCGTTGCATCTCGCTATATCAATAATAGCCATAGCTAACTTCTTGTGCCATTTTTGAAAAGAGTGGTCATCGGCGAGCGAGAAGCGACCACGAAGCTGGTCGTGGCGGTCGACACCTTGCATAGCTGAGTTGTACTCTCCAATACAAGTAGGGGCAGAAAACGCAACCTTCGTGTCCTTAATTCGACGATAGACGGTGGATGATGTAGACGAGTCCGCATTGGATACTATGTTGACAATCGATCCGTCGACCCAGCTTGCAGCAACTATATGTTTTTCTATACATACGCCTTGTTTCGCGAAGCCCCTGGGTTTTTCGTCTTTCTTCTTTATCACCGTAAAGCGGGGAAAATGTTTGCTGGAAGAACGGACAGTATCGCGTCCGTATAGGCCGACCGATCGCAAGCTTGCTAGCAGCTGGCAGGACGTGTAATAGTTATCTGTGTTCACGATGCGACCTGAACCCCCCAAAGAAGCTGTAACTTCAATTACGTGGGATCGGACTTCAGAAGAATTCTTTGTCATTTCAGCAAGCCGGGACAGCTCTGATGCTGGAACGACGCCATCTAAACGATCACCAATCTCGCTAGAGCAGTGTAATTTGAAACTCGAAACGTACCATGAGGTAGAGCAGCAGCAAAAATATAACTTGAAATGGTACTTTCCTGTAGGCTTTTGTGAATTGAAGACAATGAGATGTCTAGCGTATTGCGATCTACACGCAATGCTAGCTTCATCTACTGCCACATTTCGCCCAAGGATAACATGACGCCCACTTCTGGATTTCAACATGTTGATAAGTGGTCTTGTCCGAGCTACAGGATCCCGCTGAACATCCAATGGGGTAACTTTTGAGCGAAAGCACAAATTCTTACGAATGTAAATGAATCTTCTCCACGTCATGACCGACTCCAAGTTTGTCGAGGAAGCTCCAGGAAATATTTGTGCTTCGTCGTCATCACCCAGTAGTTCCTCATTTCGCCTTTGTCGAACAGAGCCATATACCATAAAATACCCAAGAACTTCATCAGTTCATCCAGACTAATTTCCTGGGAAGTAGGACTACCACCAGCATCAGCGTATCTATTTGTAAATTGAACCACTTGACTCCAGAATGGCAGGGGTATAAACGCAAAAAAAGACGACGTTGCTGAGCGGCCAAAAAAGCTACGGCTCTCTTCTCTTGGTTTCGTCAGCGTAGTTCCGTCGTCGTGAGTGTATAAACCAGATGGGTGTCCCAGCGACGCAGTACTTGAAAATGTCAGCAAATGGATAGCTTCGACTTCGTCAGTACACAGTGCAATATGTAATTCTTTCCGGCCACGAAACACGGACCATTCACGATATGCTTGTTCATCCAGCTCTTCGTATTCGTCTGAAAAATCAGTAATGTTTGTAAGCTGCGGCACCGCACGGCAAAGCGAGGTCCACGATTCTCCAAACTGTAGCGATCCCTTCTGTAATGTAGCAAAGTTACGAATTCTTCTGATCACGACTGATTCGTAAACTTGGTGGACGTGATCGTTACCTTGAAAAGCAGTGCTAGTCCAGCGAATCTGAAATGCTGCCGAAGGAACGGAAATGTTGTCTGCATTTTTCACGCTCTCGATAGTGTATCGTGTCACCTGCCCCAACAAATACGCGGTTCCAGCATCTTGGTAAAGTCTTTTCGGCATCCAAGCTTCTTTAGTAGGCGCAAACGCGACACTGGTCTCAACAAATCTCTCGGCTGTCATCCGCGCTACACGGATCAACTCATCTTTCATTCCTATCTCCAAAGTTTTCCGTTTTGGTTTCGTATGAATGGGCGACTTGCCGTTCTTACTGAGCGTACTTGATTTTGGTGTTGTAACATGAGATGGCCTTTTAGTTTGTGAAGAACCATGTGTCTTTTGTTTTGGGCGTGGTTGTCGACCTTGAGCACGGTTCGCGACACTATTCGCTGGAGTCAGAGCACTGGTCGTCAGTGTTGAGCTAATCGACAGAGCGATGTTAGATTTGCTACAAGAGGCGGGGTTTGTTGTGCCTTCGTTTTCTGGGCTTGTAGTATCCTCATAGCAACGCCTGCTACAGTATGAGTTATCGCCAAAAGTCTTCCATCAGTTCACCACCGGGATCACGAATTTTTAACGAGATACACACATCGTGCGAGCAGAAATGGTGGATAAAATGTCCACATCGCGAGCATGCTCTTTGTCTGGAGCAAGTCGTCTTACATACTGCGCAGACTGGTGAATTGACAGCGATGTCTGGACTGGTCGATTCCGCATGCGTTTGCGCTGGTTGCTCGGCTGCAGCTGACACATGCAATAATGAAAATCTACCGTCCGATACGGTATCATTACTCTGCAGTTCTGAGCATATCGAATCAGCCGAAATGATTCGAGCACAGCTTTGTGATGTTAAGCCATCAAAGCGTACTTCACCGCCAGTATTTTGCCTATCGTTTGGATCTGGATTTCCATCGTCACGTGTACTGCCTGCAAGACAACCTCCATCACCAGTAGTCCCACATCCATCGGAGATACTGTCTACAGGAATGCATAAGTCTGCATTAGGAGAATCACTGTCATTCGTACACCCGTAACAAGTGCCAGCGTCCGGGTTGCCTTCCAAAGTCGTTCGGTTATAATGCTCCAAAAGTGCACGTTCTCCAAGAAAAAAATCGACCCCAGCCTCTCTATTTGCATTACCATCGGGAGGGACGTAGCGATAAAGCTCGCACAAACCGGTTGGCTGTCGATGATACCAGCCTTGATTGCGGAAAAAGCGCCATACCGCACCAAATGCAGCCCGGTTAACTGCTATGTACGTGCATCAACGACAGTTATTGGTTTTAGTATATTACTACGAATATGCAAGGATGCATACCAGACAAAGCGGAGGTGTCGTCAGGTTTATCGAGAGCACGAGAAGGCTGCCGTCGCTTTGGAGTAGGCTCCCGATCACCCTGTAAGCGCTGTTTCCTTTTTACTGACCCCATCAATTACCGCAATTATGAGCGAGGTAATGGACCGCTAATTCGTTCTTGTCCAGTGTGCAGCAGGTTATAAACTGTTTTTGTTTTGTCGAAGTCCCTCCCCCTACTATTTCGTGTGTTAGGTAGTCACTTCCTTAGTGGTCCGTCGAACAATCGCACAGCTTCTGAGGGAGGTTCACCCAAAGATCGCGACTCGTGGCTGTGACTCGGATGCCACTCAGACCAGCCAACATGGTGTTGCTGTGCAGCAGCGACCTGTACTCGTTACTACAAGCCTTGTCCTTGAGCGAGATCCACAGACCACCTTCTCGTCGACTTGCTACCGCCGTCCATGTCGTAGAGCGCCAATTATAGGCTCTACAAATTGGGCTTACACGTAACAATAACATAGTTAGATGAAGATGTATTACTATGTTC